ATGTGTTATGTCTCTAAATATATCGCTGCTTTACATATCAGTCCTCGCTTTACAGGCAAAATGCACCTTCTGGTGTATTTTTTTCCTCTCGTCAAAACACAAATGAAATCAACATGGTGGGACATGACTAAATTCACCTTAAAATTCAAGCTAAATCTTGGTTCATGAAGCCTAATCCATCTTTGCATCCAATTTGTTTACTTTTAAGTTCTAAGACGAGGTTAATAAGGGAATGTGTGTGCAATGCACACCTATGGCTCACTAACTCCTTTCGTCTACCCGCTTACATTTCATTGTCCAATATAACCCTTTTTATGAAGCTAATTTAATGGCACCCTAAATGGACTAATGCTTCTGCAATAACTGTTGAGAGTAAATGAGTGAAAAAAAGACCTACCTGCCGGTTTGTATTCCATTAGTAGTGTGGTAGTTTGAATAGCCAACGCGGTTTTATACCTTTGAAGTCTGAAAGGTACATGGTTCCTATAAGTAAAGCATTTAGATACTGCATTAATTAGAAAGTAATTGTAATCAATGTGTACAGGTACAGTGGTTTGCGTGCTGTTTGGGAAGGTAGATGTGTAGGAGACTGGTGGACGTCAAAAAGCTCCGACATAAGCACAGTCAACAATGAACAAGTCAGCTTAAATCACCTTTTCAAATTGACTAACTTGCCACTCCTTCTAAATGTTTGCCTACTTTTTAAAGTAAGCCTCTTCACTTTACTCCCCACCATCACCGCTGGTTTTAACGATAAAGGCAATAATGCAAATCAAAGAAAAAGTAACAAAAATATTGCACATAAACATCAAACTCGAAGGTTAATAGCAGTGGGAAGCACCCCCTTTCAGGCCTTGGTATAAATTGGATTACACGGGATAGAACCTGAGGGTTCCTAAAACCGTCCCGAGAAAAGTAAGTGACAGAACCGGCAGAAGGCTGGCTTCTAGAAGCACACTTTTTGAGGAATATTCAACAGCTTGTTACCTACACGTCAAAGTGAACTTTGGTCCCGTTTGTCCAGATTTGTAAGCTAGATTTATCCCACTTCATCGATCGACCAATCGATCGAGGGGTGACTCAAATGATGCTGCTAATCCAATCAGAGGTTAATCGCTGACGCACCGTCTTCACTGCACTCTCATGTACGCGCTGCAATTTGAAAGGGGTGGATATCGAGAGGCAATTCCAGCTCACTCCAAAGCACCCTCGGACTTCTATGATGGTATTCAAGTGAAAAGTAGGAGAAGGTACTCTGTATCAGCTTCCTCTTTGTTGATTTAGTGCGTGATAAGCATGTTGTTGGGGTACGGCGCCTTTTACCACAAATGAAGTAAACTAACGTATAGCCCATGTAGATACATTAATAGAATCCACTAGAAGATCCGAATTTAAAAGTTCTAAGGGTTTCAACCTGCATGTGTTTGATAAGGTATGCTCGCAAACTTTATTAAAAATTTGGGCTTAATTCACAATCACTTTTACCTTTATTAACTAGTGAGGGAAGCGCCTCCTTGAAATCTGAATAAGCGATGCCTCAAAACCCGAAATCCTGGGTGGTCACGACGTCCCTATTGTTTGCAGCTGGTGGATGCAAGTATGGTTGCTACGGTAATGGCCAAGTGCTGCCTACCTTTGCCCCAACGTTTGGGAAATTACATGCTACCATCTGATTGGCTAGATAGGTGTAAATGGGATTGGGCGCTGCAGGTCGCTCGAACAAAAGTATGGCGGGGTTTTAGCCACTCTACTAACGTCATTCTCTTATTTCTTAGGTTGATTTTTTTCTACATAGTGTAACTGTCCTCAAAGGAGAGTGTCTGCATCCCACTGATCCTGATTCAGAGATTGCATTTCTCTACTGAATTGTAAAAGAATATTGTAAAAACCAGATCAACTTTTGAAAACCAGTCTGCTGAATTTGTTCCAATTTTAACATTAAAATAGTCTTGGTGTAGCGTCCCGAGACTTCCCTGAAGACGAAAGAAGACACAATACTCGGGCCGAATATATATTCAACACAGGGAAGGTGTTTGGGCTAATGCCATGACCCGAAGGCCAGCCCACCCGGCGAGATACAAGAAGGCTAATCCGAAGTACAAGAGTGGCGCCTCACCAATACCGAGGGATGAACCGCCATCGTATTACACTTAGAATTCAATTCATTTCGTAAAATGACTGAATTTAATTATACATGGTTAATTATCGACAACAAGCGCAGTTCAACTAGTTCCCATTCGTTTTGCTCACATGTGGCTATGCGGGTATAGTTTACCCTAGAGACTTTCTCGCTGAACTTCTGGTAAGGCGTTGTGCTACGACGTCTCTTAGATCACCGAAGCAACCGACCCTAATTGGTTCACTGGCCCTGTCAACAGCGGCATGAACACGTCCACGTGACGTCAGAACGCGTGTGACAAGTTGGCTAGCCTTGAAGACCTCGCCGCACTATTTCATGGCCGCATACAATACGGTGTAACTGGTTATGTTTGTAAAGTCAATGTTGACAACTTAACAGGTAAAAAAATTACGTCGGACAAAAGAATTACGCAGATGATGTGCTATCATTGAACAATGTTAAGGTCGAGAAAAAGTTCAGATTTGACGTTACCTCATGCGAATTTGGCTTTTTGAATCAGCCGAGTTTATTCGACGTAGCAACGAAAGTGGTCTCAAATTGTGGTTTCACCCAATTATTCTGTCTTAATACACTTCAAAACACCTATTCTACAGTTAGCTTAGTCGACGTCATTCTCTTGAAACGTGGGTTAAAAATGGGGACTCACCTCTACGTCTGGGTGTTGCCGGTGCTTGGCTGCAGTCACGATACAGTGCGTGATGTACTGAGAATAAAATATAGATGTAAGTGTGAGGAGACATGCATTTTTCGTCAATTAATGTTTGGCAACACAATGTACACCGCCACCCCTGGCCCCGAATTCATGAGACAGCAAAGGGAACTCCCTCGTCATTCCATTGAAGTGACAGGCTGCTTAAGCCGATAAGGGAAGGGGTCACCTGTTTCCCATTATTGACCATTTAGTTTTGAGGATGCCCTCCCGCTAAATCAAATACTAAGGAACCATTATCAGTGTTCAATTTACAGGGAAATATTAATTCACAATCTGGATCAAAAGCTACCATTGTTTTAAAGTCGCTTAACTTTACTTAATGGCTTCAATGCAATTCAATTTGAAAAACAGCAATTTCATGAAGTTTTGATAACTCTCAAATTTTATACTTGGAAATTGAATGTGGTGATTGAATGATACCTTAGCATCGTGCTCTTCCTTCCTAAATATAAAACGGTGAAAAGTTCATTATCATATGTAAATTACTAAATCTGGGGCACGAAGAACGAGAGATTTATTTATTTAACAACTCGGTGGACACGTTTTCCTGTGAACCAGGAACGCCGATGTAAAAAGTAACAAGCAGGTTAATTGCATCAGGCTCACCTGTTTTTACTGAAGCCTTATTTCGAAGTAAGATTCAGAGCTCATTCCATATTAGCCATACAGGCGAACTGAGAACGATAGATCTGTCTACCCAAGTTTGTGTGAGCTTTGGTAGATCTCACCAAAATGACTTGTTGTAACTTAAAGAGACCTGGCCTTCGTACTCCAACGTTAAGCGAATGAACAGCATGGCATAACTCAAGCCATCTACCATCTCACCCTCCTAGGGCGCGTTTTCACGAAAGTGGTGGGTTGCTGACGAACTTGTTCACTGTGAATTTCTTACTACAGGTCAAGCAACTGTAGCTGAAATTTGTCGACTCGACACGACGCAACTCGAAGTTGAGGAAGAGAACTTCGCCTAGGTATAGTCAGGACTAATCAGTGGTAAGAAAACCCTATTATTGTAAAGCACATGATTTGCTCTTGACGAGGATAATGTTTCAGTCCTACTCACAGTATTTCTCGCATGTATCTTGGCAAAAATTTCATCATGGCGAAATTCCTAGGCCTTTAGTTCAAAACGGATCATGGCTGTGATGATGATCACTTCAATAAATGGGGTGTTTCATTTTTTTGTAATTATTTATTCTAAAAACTGCTCAAACCTACATGGCTACCTTAAAATTAAGACCGAGGACATTACATCGCCTATGTGTAGGTAGTCAGGTTGGTGTTACTGAAAGAGGATGTTACTTTTACGTTCATTTCACTTGTAACAAACCTTCTCTAGCCTCGTCTGCTTGCCTACGAATTGCGCTTTACTTGAAGAAGATTGGGGTAGTGACTTGACACTTTTGCCGAGAGCTTGCGGACAAATTCTCAAATAATCTCCATTTTTCGAAGGACATGAAGATTGGGGTGGATAATAACAGCGACAGCTATAATAGTACCGAAAACAAAGTTGCCGCTTATGTAACGTAAACCTCAGATGCCTAGACTGGATGCAAAACCCCAACACATTCATTTTGGCAAAATTCAAAAGTGCCTAATTTTGAACAGTTGCCTGTTAATGGGCCCTGGCCATACCCGTGTCGTTTACAATTCGCCTTAATCTTTTCACACGATCATTTGTTGGTACTGGTTGATTTTTTGCATTATTAGTCTTTTATAAGTTATTATCCATCGTTCCAGACACTAGGCGACCAAAGTGAAGGCGTTACACTTCCTCAAGGGTAAATCCCACGGAGGGTAATTTCCTTCATGAAGTTCAACGACATATCACTCAGTAACTGAAAAATCAGGATTTAGGTACCTCTTGAAACAACTTTATTAAATAACAAAGAAGTTACGAATACTCCAAATCCTCCTGTAACAATAACAATAGACAACGACAGCTAACTGCTCTTAACGTTTTTTTTAGTTCAACTAGGCAATAGCTTTGCACTAAAAGGTCCATAATCTTAGATACTCACTGGATGTAAACTAGTTCATCAAACTGGCGGCGATTGAAACAAGGGAAAGAGGGAGAAAGATGACTGAAGTGATGTAGAATGAGTTCAGGGAATTAAGCGTACGCAGCCTAGTTCCCTGACTATCGATCTGCTATGAAGCGGGAGAAGGGTGCCATTGTTGAGGAGACAGTGGCTTTGAAAGTACCTTGACCAGTCGATGTAGTACCGGCAGCAGATGGCAACCAGCAGAAGCGCGGAGAAGGTAACAATAATCAGAGACCGTGTTATTAGTATCAAGGGTGTGCAGGCTTTTACCAATTCTGCATCCTCATCACAGCCGTCGTTACCGGCATCTGCCCCTGAGTGATCCTCGCTTTTCTCTTTTACAGCTTCTAAAAGGATAATTTTGAAGCTAAACTCCCCATCCACAACAAAGAGGATGACTCGATTGAATTATTTGATTTTGGAATTGCAAGAATACTGCTTGGCTTCTATCATCGCAATGTTTACATCAGTGAGTTTCAGCATTTACATTCATCTACTTTCTGAATGTGCTTTGGAAGCTGCACAGAGAAGAAAGCGTTTACATATTCATGAGTTTATTTTACGGTGTACTAGTTGAGTGCTTTCCTGGTTTATAATTTTGCCAACGATGGATGTGTCTAACACAACTAGTTAATAATTGTGATTTTCCGAGGATGGCTGTGACTTAGAAAATTAAGACCAACGAACCAAAGCTCATTTAATCTCAACGAGGCCTAAGCTGCAGCAGTACTCGCTAAAATGCTGGTAGATAACTGGCCGAAATCGCAAAATAAATAGGCACAATGCATCTCCGGTTCTTGAATCCGAAAGGTATTCGGTAAACAACCAAATACTCTTCAGATGGGGGATACCCTAACTAGAAAAGAACATCCTCCCACAAAATCAAGTAAATTTGTAGTTAAAGACGAGTTTTATTGAAAATCTACGTAATAGAGATGAAAATACTGGAGCGAAACATGATAAACAGTTGAGAAACCTACTAACCTGTCATTTGGAAGGTCTCACGACCCAAACTAGAGTTGACAAACTTGATTTCAGTTAGCCTTTCAGCCTTAATGTGAGAAAAAGGATTATGTTTATTTCGCTTCAATAAAGCAATGAATTATTGTCTCAGCATCAATGACTGGTGAATAAAAAATAACCAGAAGAAGTTTACAAAAGCAAGCGCGTACTTGACGGCACATCTGCACCCAGTCAATCCGACAGCACTTGGTGATGTAAAATATGACTTGAATTACCATGCCAACTGTAAGACCCCACCAGAAACCTGGAAAGCAGTAAAAACCCAACACTACTGAATTCTGTAAAGTTTGCGGATGCATATGTGCGCCATATCCGTATTATTTTTGAGGTGAACTCTGAAAGGGAAACCTGATGATCACCTGGCACAACGAGGTCGGTTAGGAGAAGAAGACAGAGGGCGAGTGGCCCGCCGATCAGATACATGCTGACGCAACACACAATGGCCCCGAACCTTTGCATTCCAACACCTCGGATAACTCCACTACACACACCCTGAAAACAAGTACGAGTGGAGAGCAAACATTAACCCTTAAGAGAGTCGACACCAATCATCCACAGCTGATGCTCTTGTGGTAGTTTGTTCAGTGACCTATGCTGCTATTTTGAAAAAACAGAGTTTCATCAAATGACATTGATAGGCAACAATTTTAAGAGTTCAAAGACATATCTCGTCCGAAATATCTGGATTTAATTTAGTCCAAAAACCGTTAGAATATGAAATAAACCAGCACTAGAATTCGAAGCAAATTATGCTTAATTACTTTTGTGTCAAGAAAGTTAAACAGAAAAATTTTGCTAATAAAGTGACCGAAATTGCCAGTGTCTTTACCTTCTGCTTTAGAGCAGACAACGGTTGCCAGACTGAAAACACTTACCACAATGCAATCAAAGAATTGGTATGCGACGACAGACGGCATGCCATAAGCGGTTGCCGCTATAATTTTACTGAAACGATAACGAAGGGTTAGAACATCCGTGGTAGCAAATAAAGAAAAGACTTGGCTGGAGAAGTAAAGTCGAGTGCTGTTTTCCTTTAGAGTAAGTTAAATAGTAAGTTAATCATATTTTCAATGATAAGCGTGACTCTTCTTTGGAAAACAAGGAAAGAATTCAATAAATTGATTCCATGCTTGCTCCCATGTCACTCAAAGCATGTTTGCAGTGGTTCTAGAAGATAATCCATTCTAACTCATTGAGTCGCACACTTCACACACATTTCTGAATATCCGGCTCTTACCAGAAGAGAACATCGCTTACCTTGCCGAGCATTAGGATGCAAAGATACATTCAACATCACTTACACGTCACCTGTAAAGATTCGTGGGATTTGGTAGCGTCCAAACAAAAGAATAATTGTATTCATTATTGCCACAAACACTAAAATAGCAAAAGTAATGAAAAAATTAGATTCGTTGGTGAAGTAATTGTAGAGGCGCAGGAAATTGTGGGTAAAAAATACCGTCCACCCGATTGCTAAGCATTTTAGGGAAAAACTTGTACAAAATTATGTGCTAAACTAAAAAGGATTCTAACTCAAACAACACGGTATCCGGGGAATGTGATACTTAGCCGCAGAATAATAAATAACCAACGGAAGTACACTTCGTGTTTTAACCAAAGTACTGACATTGAAATATCCATAATGAAGTTGAGCGCAATCAATAAATGAAATGGAAAAGCAATATTCAAACAAATTAAGATAGCGTCCTTTTGCTACGAAACGCTATTCAAAATAAGAGCATTCTATTGAACCGAGAAGAAATGTACAACTGAACAGCCAATACTTGCAACCTATTATGTCAAACATGAAACAACCATATACAACCACATTACTGCGCATAATTCGCCTCCCTGGATCTATCGATAGATCGTACCGAAGGCAGCCTGGAGCCTACTTTAGAATCTAAATGTAATGAGATAATATGTGCAATATGCGTAAGGTTTCGTTGGATGCATCAATGAAAATAAGATTAATGGCGAATATCGGATAAATTTCAAATTTTCATTCCACATAGGTTACCGGAATGTAGATGAAAAAGCGATTGACTAACGGGTAAGCAAATTGCCTCAAGCACTAGTGTTGCATGTGAATAATTTTTTTCCAATGCCACGAGACAGCGAGTGCGTTAAAGAACATGAACTCGTAAAGGCGAGCTTCCCAGTTAACAACCTACCCAGAGTAAGTATTCCTACAAAGACCGTCAACTTTGGCCCTACAGAGTTGTTGGAACCGACAAATTGGCCAACACGAATTGCTACAGCAATACCATATCCCATGGGAAACTAAAATTTATTAACAATCAAATTTTCATTTAAATCACGACAGGCAAAACAATAGGTTTTTACACCTTACAGTACAAAATAGGATGGATTCAACGTTGTTCAGAATGGTTTGGACGGCAAGAGCCTCTTCTCCGCGAAGACCTTGAGTCAAAAAAAGAAAAGGAAAATTATCGTTCTTTAAGTAAGTAAAAGAAATTTCCAAGACCAATCAAGAAAAGTTTCATGCATCAAAACAAAACGATAATCCAATTGAGCATCAAGCTCCTAGCCTACACAAATAGTGTTAATTATACAGATGAGGAGTTAACAGAACTTTGTCAGGTAAGCCCTTTCGTTATCCATTTACAACAATTCGCCAAGTTGTTCGTGCTTATTAACTACAAAAGATGACATATAATCCCCACTTAAATAATGATGGATAATTGCTAACGTTTAGATGTTTAAGTTCGACTTTTAAGTATCAAGAGGGGTTGGGTGAAAGAAGGGCAAGCAACTTTCAGCGGCAGCAGGCAGCGGAGTGTTCATACCGGCGGTGAGGCTTCCGGCCTCACAAACCCACCACTCAAGCCCAAACATCACCACACCCGGCAAGCCAAGGCGAAACCATACACTCCAGTCATGCCACATTTCAATATGAAGACCTAAAATAAGATAAAAAAGATAAATCTCATCAGAAATTGTGATGAGGGCCCTCATCTGGTACCCGCATTAGTTACTGAATCCAGAATTGGGTCCTGCCGTTATCAGTTGTTGGACTGCCCATTGGGAGTAAAGTGGAAAAGACTATTTTTGGGTTATTTCTCGCCTCTATTTTAAGCGTAAGATTGACTTTAAAGCCAGTTGAATAAGGCCAGGAATGAATTAAGTGGGGTGTAAAACAAAAAAAATTAATGATGGGAGTTTTGTGCTTAAATTTACTATTCAAATAAAAAACTCACCATCCCATGTGCGGCGGTATATTCCAGAGGCGACAATATAAACCAAAACGCAGCTAGCTTGGACAAAATAACATACGGACTGTGAAAGCGCAGAACCTCTAAAAAGATGTGGAAAAGTAAACAGGTGTTACGCAGCTGCAAAACCTAACTTACAAATCATATTTTATTCCTTACATAATGCCAATGTCGCTATGGTAAATGAAAACGTAGTGTGCAATAGCATTGGCGAGATTTCCTATGATTCCAGCAATGAGTGGTGGCAGTACTTTGTTCTAAACACAAATTTTTCACCTTGAAAAAATAACAACACATATATACCTGGGTTTGCACATACTTTGTCAGGATTTCAAAGATGGAGAAGAACTGGAAGAAAAATAAGTGGAACAACGCAGAACCTACAAATAGTCCAGGCATCATTCCAAGAATATACTCGCCAGTATACCTTAAAAAGAAAGTATAATGCAGCTTGATGGTAGAATTTTAGTACGATGAGGTAGTGACAAAGCAGTAATTTACTTGGCTATCAAAGGAGGTTGGTTGGTGGACAGAAGAATTTGTTCAATCACCAAATGCACGGCCCAGCAAGGAAGGCAACAAAGGGTGAGGATTAAGAAAGCTATAAAAAAACAAGGGTAAACACTGGGTATTCACATTCAGAGGTATGTTTTTGGTAAGCATATCGCGCTTCGCAATAAACGTAAACGAACGGACAGAAAATCATCATACCAGTCTTGAGTATAAAAATACGACAGATTCGATCGCAAATCAAAATACTCAAATGCATCGAATTCCTAAAATACCAGAATTTACTTCATAGGATACGACAAAGGCATATCACATTTCGTAAAGATAAAAGCTGAATATGATAATTATTGTCTAAAAATTACTATGGTTTAGTAGGAAATTAACCAACAAAGCCCCATTAAAATGTATTTTACTCACACATTCTTCCGATACGACAAACGGCCAAATTCCCTAATACTAGGGTGTTTATTAATGCTAACTGTGATGCAAATGCTCCCCTTGTTGGGCGTCTATTTGAAGATAGCGTTGTAAACTTACACCTTTGCACCTGTATCCCGAGTCCGAACTTATTTTTTCCACCGTAGGTCTATAAAAGAAGTACGAGAATCAGAAGATATAACTTAGAATAAGGGCCATACATCTGATCCTACGTAAAATCTATGAAAAAGTTTAGAAAACAACACATCAATGTGTTATAAAAGGTGACAACTAAGGTGTGTTGCAGACTAGCAACTGGGAATTCTTAAAAAATTGGCATCAACGTCAAATTTTTTGAAGGCCCAAATTATCTACAGCACATTCCAAAATACCCTACTACTGGCCTAGGGATTAATTCCCCTTCAAAACGATAATTTATAGGTGAGACCTTCGTTTGAAAGTCCCGGTATCAATGAGATTTTACATGAATACAACAGATATACGACTTTTAAGTCAATACATTATAAAATTTCTGGATTATTTCTAACAGCAGTACGACAAAGTAAAAAAACACTAGTGTGCCCATAACCACCTGCGCAAAAAGGGTTTCACCGGCAGTAAGAAGCCCCATAATGAAGGAGACGCCGGCAGTATGAAAAAGGGATATCGCAAGACCCGCTGCGGCCAGCTCAGTTTTTCCGAGTTTCCCACAGAAGAAAAGACTGATGGGTGCAGTAAGGTACTCAACCAAACTTGTGAACATCTGCACAGCAAAGAAATGCATTACACACATAAAAATTCATCCACTTCGATAGCTAAAAGTGGAGCTGGATTGCATATCACAAGCCTTGAATATTTCGGCTGAGTGTAATTCTGTAATTTTATCACCAGACATTAGTATCAATAGCTTACAATAGGGACAGCAAGTTTTGACAGTTCCTTCCATTCGTACCAAAACCCATTCAGAAAATATTTTGACCAGCAATTTCGCCCCTTCGCGTAGTCAGCGTCTAAACCATCTTGTGTATTTTCTGAAATACGTTGAAAGAAATAATTAAATCTGTAGCTGTAAATTTGGCTAAAACTTACGATTCTGGAATAGTTAAGAGCGAGCAACAGCCAGCGATTTCAAAACAGGTGAGACACACGTTTGATTAGAATCAAACACCAAGGTTATAAGGCAACTTACATGCTTAACGCAAGGGTTAACACCAAGCAACACCATGGAAGGTATATGTTGAGTGTGATTTACATGGAAAAAGTTTTGATATTATAGGGATTGTGGGTACACAATGTGTATGACTAATGACAGTGAAGCACAGAAGATATAGCTAGGAAAAGGAAACTGACTTAAGAGCGCATTAAAAGGTAGTTAAAGCTAGTGCTCTTAAACTAAACTGTAATTACTGGATGCTAATTCCACAACGAAAAGAACTCTTCGCGATAGTGCAAACCCATTTCACATGAAGCGTTGCAAATAACATACGAAATCCAATCAAAGAAACCCGAACAAGCAGCGCGCAAAAAAGGATCTGCAAAAACACAGGTATTTCAGGGCAACATTTATGGAGATACGTAAAATAAAACGCATCCAAACCATGATTACGAATAAAACACCTAGCTAGAACTAATCTACCCAGTTAGTCTACACGGACCGACCTTGGTCCATCATTTATGGCACCAGGGCACTGATATAAACAAACCGTTCTAAACAGCTCTAATAGCATTCAGTAAAAAGTGAAACGGAAAAACACGTCTTCAGGCTTAGAAACTAATTGGTATATTAATATACTGCTTAAAGAACACGATCTGCACCCACACGCTTTATTGAAGCAGCTTTTATCGGGTGCATAAATGCTTACTGTTGGTTAATTCAAGAAGATTGCTCCTTGAGAGCCTAAAAAAGGAATTTATGCAGCAAATTCTAGTTTTGCTAAGCTTTTGTTTTCTGCCCAACTCCTTTGGTTTGAATTTAAATCCCATAGTTTAAAAAGATGTATTTTTGCATGGAATGTATTTACCGGATTATCATTCCTTGCAGACTTTAGCAGCTTTTTGTGAATCGTCATTTTTGTCACACTTAGACACTTGTTACCCTAAGGCGTTAAGAGCAAACAAGCCTGCAGCATCTTGAACGTCATCTGCAATCCATGGGCATCATAAACTCCCAGTTTTCCCATAACTTAGGCATCCTCCTCGAGCTTCATAGTTTACCACCTATATTGGCTCAATGGGTTTCTACTCACAGCCATGTTGCCCTAGTTATTCTGCACCTCGATTTAAACTTTCGGATCGGTATGCAGTGGTTGTGTCCATATTCCCAATGGAAAAATGATGATGCGCATGGTGTAGGCGTACTTGTGATAGATGCATTCTAATGAACTTTTCCCATTATTTTGTACGCTAAGGAGCTGAATGGCATTGTTCTTCCTTCGCTCACCACTTGTGCGACGCCGCCTTCTAGTACCGTGCTCGACCCATCCATCGAACAAAGCCTTGCATTAGGAAGCTGTCCCCACGTTCCCCGCCCGGAAACTCGTAATTTGCTGGCTCCTGTCCAGCTGCCTAATCCGTCCGCAGAAAACCCAGTATGGGTTAACCCTTGAAAAGCACTCCACATAGAGCTTAACCTGCATAATGCATCGCAAATAACAGCCTGAACGGTCTGACGCAAGAAATAATAATACATATTGAACAGGCCATAAGATCGTTTGCTTTAGGAGATAATTATACACAGTTTAGTCATCGGAAGTAGAGAGGATTGAAGGTGACCCAGTGAGCCTTTGGTTGCCTACGGGCCTCCTCGGATGTGGTGAAGAGGGACTTGAATGCGGATGAGGCGTTTGGATCATCCTGAACTGAGGCATAGGCGGACGTTGGGACTTTTCTGTCTCCTTCCTCGTCCCCCACTGATTCAACTTTGACCTTCTTGACAGCGGAGGAGGCAAGACCCGTAGAGGAAGAGAAAGATCTCTTTTCTCCCGTCTCAATTGAATCCTGGACAGCAAATCGCACAATTAGACAATGAGTGCCTCAGTTGAAGTCGAAGAGTTACACAAGCATAAACGACCTTGATATCTTATAACGTAAAAAAGCTTTCATGGTGTGTTATACACTTGATTCCATGGGTTGCGGGCAAAACCTGTGCAATTAATTCGTAAACATCAAAACATTAAAAAAACAGACTGAAGAGAACAAATTGCCTTTTCAATCCTGGCGTGACGTCCCTGTTTTACCGGTAATTTGGGATGGCCGGATTTGGTCTAAAATTATTTTAAAAGCACTTGTAGAAAAGTGTCCGTAAACACAACAATGTGTAATTAGTGTGTAGAAAAAGTAGCCTCTTTCAGGATATTTGGGAAACCACAACAAGAGCAAAAGACAACCATTCATACACACCGCCGTGTCACGTAAACTATGGAGAAGGCGCATCGACGTGATATGAAATACTGGTACTGTATAGGGACAATAGATAGCACCAAAACAGTTACGACGACAAGGCGCTGAAACTTACGTCAAGCATACAGACGCATATATTGTAAGGGAAAATAACCGATTGTGAGACACCCGAAATATCATTTTGTTCCAGGAATAAAAGGACTTGAGCTTGTAGCACCATGGGTAGAAAGTATTCGCAGCTCACATAGGGGGGAAAAACTAACCTTATTAGAACAACGATTTTGCTGATGACATTGAATTTGTACTTAATTAATTGGTATAATTAAAGTAAAAAACGCAGTAAAAATCCGACCCAATACCTTTTTGCAGGATTCCTTAAAGACTTTAAGCCGATCTTGAGCGGTTCTCAATTCTTCCTCAGATTCCGGGTTAAGTAGAATGATACTATTTGATTTGAGTGGTACTCCGCACTGCAAAGAAAATCAAGATAAGAAGTACTATGCAAAAAGGAGTTCGGTGACAGCAAAATGAAAACAAGCATTCTCGAACAATAAATATAATTTCCCATTTAATAAATGCTTAGCCATTCCACGGACAAAAGCGGAGAAAGGATGGAGTGGAAGAACTTACGATGAGACAGCTCGAGTCCTTGACGGCATCATAAGCCCTCTTTGAAAAGACACAACCGCACTCCCNGGAAAAAACAAATGGGTAGGACCCATTCATTTCCTGTCCCAAAATCGGACAACAAAAGGATTCAGCAGAGTTCTCAATTATTCCTGAGGAAAGTTCGTGGCTTTGTAGTTCTTTCGGAGTAGGCGTTAGCTTAAGATCACAGACATCTCTCAACTTTTTAATATGATCAGCGACCGAGCTTGTATATTTTGACTCGTCCAGAAGTTTCTCGATTATAGCCTCCTTGTTATACAGTCTGCATTAAAAATTTAGAATAGAAGGTGAGTAACCAGATGAAAATAAAGGGGAAGAAAAGTGGTTAACCGGACCTTCCAAGTTGACAAGCAACTATGGGTTGACGAAGAGGTTGCTGACTAAGAGCACAATGCTTCCATTTGGCTGCGTCAACGGCAACCTTCCCCACATTTTCTTTCTTCTTCTTACTACGCACAAGCTCAACTCTACGAGGTATACTCCCACCGTCTCCACCCATTAACCGATAAGGACGGTAATGCTTCAAATGCAGACATTCAACATAAGACCTTGATCACATCCGGATTAATCAGACATGAGTTTTTCAACATAATTTGTCTCTAACACGGCGTACTATAAAAACTTGCCAAACGGTATAGAGAATTTTAATTGACTATATTAGAAGGCTTTGAGTGGTGTGCATTTTAACCAATTTTGCTGCAAAAAAGCACTTTTACGGAAAATTTATGCAATTGGTTTAAAGCATTCGTAAACTGTGACTTGCCCCCAAAATTGCTATTTGGCTTATATTCTTATTTCGGCTTTTCTTAAATAAAACGTTTTCTTGTTTCCGCGACTTGTTCTTTTATGTAAACTTTCCTTGTGCGTAAAAACTATTTTATCTTAATTTAAAAATTAAAAAAACAAAATTTTATATAAATTGAAGTATTTGGTTTCTACGCTTTCTGTGACTACTATGTTTGTTAGAGTAGATTGATTTGACCTCAACTTTTCAAAGGTGAGTGGGGATTGGGCCGTCCGCCTTTGCAGCGTCTTCGTTGCTGGACATGTGATACCCTGGGTATTATGTCATTTTCTGGAGTCAGCTTAAATCCGGGATCAACCGTCATAACGAATATCAGCAAAGAGGCGGTTCAGCGTGTGCATGAACAGATCTTCGGTACTCACACTTCGTGGTTTAATTTTAAATAGGTAATCCATTCAGCTTTAGCAATGGTTCCCCCTCCGAATGTCAACCATCGCGAAATCACAGTCCTAGGACTCGATTTCCCTGTCCCGAATTTTCTTTGAAATGTGGAAATTCATATACAGTTGTTATAGATAAGAGTGAGACCAAGGACCAGCTTGGAATCAGCTTTGATTTTGACCATTTTAATGTAAGCAAACTCTTCCTATGGTTTTTGGAATTTAAATAACTTCTGAGTACTTTGTCTCGTACTTCTTGCTGCCGTAAGGTTAGATGCGTTTTTTTGCATTTACAACCCTATATGGTTTCAATCGTATATCATTTGTTTCATTTTTTGGATACATGACTTTTGTAAGTCACTTCAAAAGACGTTATTTGATTACCGTTTTTGATAGTTCTTTTTGGTGTCTCAAGATATAGAAGGCTTTTTAATAACAACTCATTTCCTCTGCATTAGAGGGCCTATACTTCTTCACCTCGTAATGGTCTTACCGTGTTTTGTTACGTTTCTTTAGAAGTCATTTTAATACTTTATGCCACTGTTTATTGCTCATGCTCCTGTCAGCACTATCATTAAAAATGCGACCCTGAAGTAACTGGTATTGATAGCTTGTTGCATTTTAACAGGTTTGTTCCTAGGGTATAACAGGTAATATTTTTTCTCTTTTTGTATCAGAGAGCCATTCTAAAGTTCCACTCCGCAAATTTTTCAATGGGACTTCTTCCCGGGGATATGGTCTTGTCGATAAATGGTGTGGACTTTCAGCAACTCAGCATTGATGAAATGAATGCTAAACTGACTCCCGGGGGCCCCTCAGAGCTAAAGATTGTGTTGATTCCATCCGAAGACAGCATTGAATGGTCCTTGAGGTCCATACACGTGGATTATTCCTATTTATCAGTGTTAATTAATGCTGTCACAAGTGCTGCTAGTTCCCACAGCTCGTACTACAGGGATTTATTTCTTACCCAAGACTATAGCTTCAGTCGTATTTGCTTACGCAATTGGATCAAACGGGTTGGGAGTTTAAGCGGAATCAGTGATTTAGTAAACGAGGTATTTTTTCTTTTTTTGCTTTTATAGTGCTTTCTTATAAATATACTTTACCCAAAATTTAGAAGTGTGACAAGGTTTGGGCCTGTTTGGGAACAAGTTTGCTTTTGATCTTTTTGATAGCTCTATCTGCACTTGTTACGGGATGTTACATCTGATTCCAAAGGATTATACTGTGTTGGCGATCTCGTTTTGGTCACGCACCGAGATGGTTATTCAATAGGAACAGTCGCTGAAATCCTTCCTAAAGATATTTATCAAGTTAGGTTACTTCCCAACAAGCAGCTTCTGAATGTGACTTTGGTCGACGTTAGTCGAGTAAGTTCATCATGTTCAAAATTTGTATTAGCATTTGTTATGAGGTCATTTCTTGAACATTTTGTCGTATTTGTGTAATTATTCATCTTTTGCCATCCTCAAAATCTCATTATACATTTTGGTCCTTCTGCACTGTTTTGCATCAGTTGCTTCCAATAACAAACTACCGAAATTTTGTGTTATTTTATAGAATATTTAGCATTAATTATCAGTCTCATTGTGCTCCTGAATTCGTCGCATTTATTATTTCGCAGGTGCCTTAATGAATTTACGGTGGGTTGCTTGCCCATTTCAATGGCTCCTCATGAAAGTTACCCTTGTTTACTTTCTGAAGTACTTGTCTATATCCTTCTTTCAATAAGTGACTTATCAACTTCTGTCGATGCCCTTGCCAGCGTTCGTTGTATAGCGTATACATAAGGATTTTAAATTGTTTTTAGTTATAATTATCAAAATTGTCTTTCACACGTTACATTGCAATTAATTTCTGTTTTTCTACCCATACTATTATCATCCGGTTTATTTTGATTCTTTATGCATTACGGTCATCACACCAAAGTTAACCGTTTATCACAGCTTGATTTTCCCTATTTTGTGCTACCTTCTAAATAGCTGCTTGGTTTTAAACTAACTCCAGAATTGGGTGTTCTGCGGGCTGTTTCCTTAGACTTACTGTTCGAGGTCGATGCGAAACAACGGGTGTGACATTTTAGTAGCGTGTTTGTTTGAGTATGTTGCGGTGAGGCTTTCCTATTCGAAAACGAGCGTTTTTATTTTTTCAACTTTTCATGGTTAAAAGCATCTGCTTACATTCACTTTCCCATATTTAATTTATAATTTTAGGTAATTTTGTAAAAATGTCAGCCAATAGTGACAGCCTCAACGAGGGTACTAGGTGTAATAAACATTCAAAATGGCGGGATTGGCCTAGTATTGTAGGCATACTTGCGACATGAGACTGTGGCACAACCGGATCCGCTATACTTGCTCCTCTCGAGGGGTGAAGTCTCCAATTTCGAGCTAATGCTCCAACTATTCGGCCCACATATCTCAAATATTTGGCTGCACTGACTGACATTTTGACCAAAGTTCAACCTGGAGGCAAGAGAAATATGATGATGAATGTTTGTTGAAAAGTCATGGTTCCTGGTGAAAATTTTAAGCCATTTGCAAATTGTCTCCCACGTTCCAAGTCTTTTCCAATGTAACCGAACGGGAAGTGCCGCTTAGATGTTTTTTCCTATTTCGATTTTCCTTCAACGATTTCCAACTTCCAAATTATTACTTATTTATTAAATTGAAATCATTAATGCAACTCGGTGACTTGTTTTTTAGACCTTATATAAGCTTATACTTTGCATTTCTAGTTGCTTGTTAAATTTTGTAGGATAAATGCTGCGTTAGTCTCGTGTAATGCGCATAGAACTGTACAGCTGGTAGTCAGAATACGCGGATACTCTGTTTTCTCCAACTCCTCGTTCCGCTTCATTCTTTGGAAATTTTAGAATATTGAGTGATGCCAATATTCTGTCATTAATTGAAATTGCATGCTTTGCCAGCAAAATTAGTCTAGCAGGCAGCAAAGTTCATTCCTCTATTCTATTTTGTGCGTATGGAAAGTTGACTATGAATTCATGAAGCAGTTAATGATACTCATAGAATGGGGAAGCCGAATTTGCGTATGTACTGATTGCGTAGCTTAACTTCGATCTCACACATTTGGCGTTATTTTATGTCGAAGCTTAAGTGAGACAATTTTGCTCCGTTTGATAAACTTATTCGACTTTACTCAGTCCAGCTTTCGCTAGCTGTTGGGTTATTGTTCAAAATCGGTTGTAGATATTCACACCGTCGAAAACTTCTTCCAACAAATCTGGCATTTTTAATCTCTTTCACTCCGAGCATCTACTTTCCTTGAGAAAATAAGGACGAGGTATTTATAATGGTGTAAAATCTTCCGTCAGTTACATTTTATGAAGTACTACACCTTGAAGTCTGCATCGCTACTGTTTTTGTTTACTTTCTCAATACATTTACCTTGCCTTGTGGAGAACGTTTTGACATTTCATCAGGACCATGTCAAAACTTGCAGTATATAATTCAGTACCTCATATAAACTACTCAAAAGTACCCTTAAGTCAGTTTAATCAGACTTCTTCAATAACAGAGATGCTATTAGCAAACGATTGTTAACCGTAGACGGTACCTGAAACGTGATAAAGTGGGAAAACCTTCGTTGATAAAGGCAGTTTAGAATGTTTTGATGCCTCACAAACGAAACTTCTTTTGGTTATTCCTGTAAAATTTTGGGTAGTTTCATTTATTTGTACCATTTATTCGAATGCTCCAGTGTTACACCGTGGCTGTATGCTAATGCGATGCTGTGGAGGTTGCAGATTTCACCTTCAACAATTATGCTTGGTCTGACTTAATACACCTTCATGCCGTCGGAAAATGTCATTTCACAGCTAAAAAAGCCATTAACATTATTTACCATGACGTGTTGAAATACCTATCCTATCCAACAAACATTGGCCTCTATGTGAATGATGCTTTAGAACAAAATTGGCTTATGAGTTTCTTCTCCTAATTTAAACTTGATTCACTTCTAATGCGGCTTTACTTGGACAATAGCCCCACCGAGTCTCACTTGAACCCAGTTTTCATGTCGTGCTTTCTGATTGACGTTCCAGGATGAATAATAAAAGCTAGATAGGACTGTTAGCTGGAGAAATGAACTGGGCAGTAAGGGTGTGTTAAATCCCCCCTAGGCGAACAGTAGGGAGTTGGAAGGTGTGGAAGATTTGATGCTACTGCGCCACCTAAATGAAGTGGCTTTGGTGTTCAACCTTCATGCCCGCGTCCACCATGCCCTGCCCTATACCTACGTTGGCGACTTTGCTCTGCTAGCCTTCAATCCCATGCGCAGCCTCGACATCTACAACAATGCCGTGAGCCCAATTCTTATTTCAAACGAAGTCATGCATATTAGTTCATCGCATTATACTTTTTTCATCATATTCTACTTTATCTCCCTTACTACTTCATTCAATCAATTTTTAATCCAATTTTAGTACGGATAGGTTTTATCAGCATCCTCATTGTCGTATTTTTTATTAACTGCCGAGCACTTTCCTCCTTGCTTTATTTAAAACGTTTTTTACACATTGAACTTGGTCTAGTTCGATTCACTGCAATTTTCTCCATTGTTCCCTGTCTAAAATATTTATTAAAATAATAGTACTATGAAATTATTGGCAATCACAAAAGTGTGTGGAATTACAAATATCATATACACGATACTAATAAAAGCTTTTCTTTCCTTCATGGGGAAGCTTCCCAGTAAAGCTTAAGCACCTTTAGCCGTAAGCCAAAGGTCTATACGATTTTAAAATTTGTCTGCTTCTCCAAAAATTTTGTAAAAGCTTTCTTTGCTTTGCCTGAAGGTTGGGATGCCAAAAAATCGGCAAGCAAATTCATGATGTTGTGCATTAAATCGGCGATGCAAATTGCTTGATATGAACAGTCAATGGAAAATGTGCACTTACGCAGCAAAGTTAGCGTTTTTCTCAACTTTCGTCCCACTAAAAAGGCAGTCGTTTGATGTATTAAAATGTGATTTTTTTTATTGTTTAGGCTTTCCTAAACTTTCTTGAGCCAAACTGGCAAACAAGTTATCGTTAAACTAAGCATAAAGTTAACTTATTCTCTTTATCCTTTAAAGGTAAAACACCTCTTTTTCAAGTGTCAAAATCGTCTTGATATGCCGCCCCATATTTACTCGGTGGCACAAACTATTTGGGCTCGCATGGAAGGTTTGTTTCTGGCAAGGGAGGGCGTTCTTCCCCCAGGCGCCGTCGACGCCAATTGCTCCACCACTGCCGTCAACCGTGATCGTGTCTCTACCACCTCTCTGTTGGCAGCCACCATCAAGGTACCCACGCAGGCCGTCTGTTTGCTCGGCCGCTCGGGTTCCGGCAAGTCTGTGAACACAGAGCACCTTATCGAGTACCTTCTTTCCCAATGTCCCTCTGACTCTGTTCTCACCGGTGTGCCTCCTATATTTCGCATTTCATGCTGTGTGCTGCTCTTGCATTAACTTTCAATCGACAATGCCCTAGAATATGAGTTTTTATTTCGCCAGCATAAACAAAATCTTGTAAGTGTAAAAATATGCGCTAATCATCCAGCCATGATCTCTGAAAATGTGTATAGATTAAAAAATTGCCTTTTTCTTTGAACCTAATCGGTACTACGCTTTAAAATCCTTATTGACTCAAGTTATGGTTCCCATTTATTTGCAAAAATTACTATGAATGCAAGGAGACAACTTGACTATCGGTGCTATCGTTTCATCAATCTATCGAATCCCGCCGTACATAAGTTTGAGGATTTCTCAAGACATTACTGATACTACCCATGCGCTTTATTTCCATTTACCAATTACCAACTGTTGTGTTCTCTTAAAGCGTTATGATGGATGTAGTAATAGCATGGTTGCTTAAGGTCCCATGGTTGATGGCGTTTTTGTTCCATATTTTTAAAAGCGATGTATGGAGAAGCGAAACTGGGGGTAGCTCTAACACGTTACGGCAGCACTTTTGCGCCTGTTCTTCTGTTCTTTTTATAAATCGTCCAAGGCCAACTTCTCCAAGGGTTCTGAACCAAAGCGATCGTAATGCTTGAACCGCATGAAAAGTTGCTTGCTTTAATTGTTCGATATCCTCCGCTTTACATCTTGCGAGCCCTTATGTCGGAATGACGTAGTTTGTAAATACTCCGTTCAATACACTGCCAACACTGTCTCAGGGCCGCTTTTTATTGACTTTCGCATTTTTGCCTGCTCGGTCGTGACACCTTTTGTCGTAAGCAAAGTCGAATCCTGACTACAGTAGTGAAATCATTACTGCTGCAACAATAAACAATATTTTGATTGATCCTGCTTCAAACAATTGCTGAATCGTATCCGTTAATTTTCATTTGAAAGCCCGAAAGGTACGCGCAGTAATGTGCCTCCTGGATGCTTTCACATGCTCAAGGACGCTCCTCAACTCCAACGCCAGTCGCTGTTTACGACTCTTTACAGTCCAGTTTGTGGCCGAATGGCAGGACGCTTCCTGTGTGCATCTCAATCCCTCAGGTCTCTTTGTCGACATTTTGCTCTTGGATAAATTTCGCGTTACACGTCGCCCACAGGGTGAACCTACATTCCACATTTTCTACTACTTCCTGGCTGGTCTGGGATACGATGTACGGTAAGTAACCACCCAAAGGTAAAAGTTTTTGCTCCACGCGATTTAAAATTTAATAAGCAAATCGTGACATGTAGGTAAAATCCACTTTTTTTCCGTATTTACATTAATTTAACTAACAGAAATGAGAAAAATACCGTGGATTTGTTCTGTTTATCTATCTAAAATGAGCTTTAATTTCCGTAGACATTAGTCACACCTGTTATGAAAAATCTTTTTGAAAGTTAAAGCAATTTCATCATTAACTTAAAGTACTGAGGGTCGAGTGCAGATTGAGGTACTTAATGGGAAATTCACTCAGTTTGTTGCTTCTGTGAAAAGAAAAGGTCACGTAGTGAAGTCATTTTTAGTCTTAGAATGGAACAGGAGGGATTCATGAGTGGTTCAGGAACGATGGGCGTGCCATATCCTACATCTACGTTCTTGACTTCTACGTATTTTTGTATGAAACCCATTTACTTGCATTCATCGAAACAAACATAATGAGGTGGTAAGCGGGAAACTTAAAATCCGTCGCATTGGAATTAATTCATAACATTGGTTAATTTTGCACCAAATTTTATGCTAATTTTCTCAAAAGTTGTTTCATAGACCAAGCGGAAGAACCAATTCTATTTGTTTCTATGGTATCGTTTTAGAACAGAATACATGCTGGAGGACCTTACTTCTCCGAACCTATTTATGACCCCACTTCAAAGGGTAAGTACATAGAAGTAATCAAACCTTTAAGCATTTGCACCTTCCACTATTTCATTCATACATGTGAGGTCTTTCATTCTTTTTTACGTTTGATTTCGCAACTGTTGTTCTAGTCCGAGCGAAAACCCATCTCCATCACTTGGCATTGTTGTGAATCAGCAGCATAAGTGCTTTGCGCTCAAAACTCCTGCTAATACTCCGCTAGTTAGGATGATCATTTGCAAATTATGCGCTCGAATGTTTCATTAGGTTAATTAACGGGTTAAATTTCGCAAATGCTGCAAAAATGGCGAGGTTGGTTGAATTAACCTTCGATGTTTGCAGTGGTTTGCATCTTGGGATAACTCAACGTTACTAACGGCAGTTACATCTCTAAACTTATTCACTATCTTCAATCTTAGTCTTTAAATGCGTTCCCGATTTCAGGGACAAATAGCAGTATGACCTGGTTTGGTGAGAATTAAGCATTACCTGCGCAATTATTTGTTTCGCACTATTTAAAATGTGCGGAAAGAAGTGCGTCGCTTAGCCCATATCTGTACTTTAGGTTAAAATTTAGGAACCAGCCCCTAGTCGGGCCGGTGTATCCCGGCTCCTGATACCAGCCCCTTTCTAAACGTTGTCTACCCACCCCTCTGTGTGTGACTCACCCCCTCGAACGAAATGCAACGGGCTTTACGCGTCCTCGCATGGGTACACACGTGCACATACACAAACACACACACACACTGAAGTATGCGTTTTGCGTGATCACTACCTATCTAACAATTTGGTAGACTCATTGATGTTGTATTACATACCCACGATTCAGGGCTCCACTCGATTACGAGGTGGACAGTCTGACAAGCCCCTTTTTTGTAGCACACAACTTGTATGTGATCTTGCTTCCACCGAAATAACACTTGGTGTTTTGGGACCGGCTCTCAGCCGTGAATGGCTCATTGTCTCAGAAAATTACGTTTTGAGCTTTAAATTCATGTGTGATGCGGTACAGGATTTCAAGTGCCCCATCAATTAGCCCCTCGCATAATCCATAGGCCCGTACCTTTTAACTGCTGGTAGCGCGTGCGTGGGGTGAGGAATTCATGTTCTTAGCCATTGGAAGATAAATATTTTTGAAAAATAGCCACATTTTATGCATACCACCCTAAATTAATGCATACTTTTACATTTAAATTCTATTAGGTTTTCATTGAATTAATAGATTTCCGAAGATTGTCCAGATTCCCATAACCTCATGATAGAATGTGATTGTGTGGTAAAACAGGTGGAAGACACAGTGATACTATCGCTTGTATGATAAATGTATGTGTGGATGCTGATTTCCTACCATCTTTCATACGATCTACTGTCAGATTTATTTTCGTTAGTCTCGACGGTGTTAGTAACCATGCGAGGTTAGATGCATGCTCAACTTCGCATCCCATTGACAATAATGCGTCTGCTTGGAGTGGGATCCCTTTAATTATTTTTTAAGTAACACACCTATGCTAGCATTTGTGGAATTGGATTTTGGGAGACGCTGTCAGCTATGTGCGCTTTTATTGTCACGCAGCCGGAGGACCAGGCGTTGGCCAGATCGCGCTGGCAGGCGGTACACGCGGCAGCGCGAGTGCTGGGGCGAGACTTTGAGGAGGCCTTCTTGAAAGGCGTGTGTCGCCTCCTTGCAGTCATTTACCACCTAGGCTGTGCGGGTGCTACGCCGCCGCACACTGCGGCGACATCGACACCCGCGTCCCCGCGTCGTTTTATCAATCGCAACGCTGCGGAGCGCGCTGCACGCCTCCTCGGCTGCGCCTCTGTCGAACGCCTTACCTCCGATGTCTTCGGCGATGCCATCGCTAACGTAGATTCCTCCTTTTCTCGGTCGCCAAGTAACCTTGAACTTCTGGGGGGCTTCGTCGCTAACCTCTATGCCATTGCCACGAATACACTAAGAGATCTCATCAACAAGTGCGTTCTTCGGTTGTATCTGTTGGAGACACACTTATTGGCGGATAATTTGTTATCTTTTCTATTATCACTGCTTTCAGACCAGATATGACTAGATCTAACGACCCTTTGCATTTTTGCATTCCATTCATTGCTTTTCAATTGTTCACCAATTGTAAAAGGACTGTTTGAAGTTGGAATATTGAAGATCGTCTTATTCACTTCAATTGTCCAGTGAATTAGACGCGCCCAAACGACCAGGTACTAAATTATGGAAATAAGTGACGCAATGAATAAGTGTTTGCTTAGTCAATTATGTAAAAGTTGTAATGTTTGGCATTAATGAGCGAATAGAAATGGAGCTGACCCGGTTTCTTTTAGGAGGCAATAGATTTATGTTGTTACACAAAATTTAGCCACCTGGCACTGGCATTTGCGGTGGAAAATGGTGCTTTTGGGTTACAACAGCAGCAGATTTATTAGGAAATGAAAATTTGGGAGCGATTTAGTGCTGTTTTTTGGGAGGTGAGCAAAGGCTGTCAGAAGGCAGTATGCGTGTGGTAATTTTGTTTAGTCCATAAGCCATATGATAAATCTTACCAACCTTTTCTCTCAACGTGCTAATTCATACCCATTTTTGACTAAAATTATGACCGAAAATAAATAGTCCATTGTAGGCATAGCTTCTTTCGAAATCTAAGTTTATTGTATGCTGTTCATAATGTTTGGAAAGGCAATATTGAACATGCAGTCCTTTATGACTAAATTGCAATGCGAAAAACTGAGGACTATAGTTCAATTGAGTGTATTAGCACACTATTTTTATTTTTGGGGTACATTTTACAGCTACGAATTCGATGTTGAAAGGAATAGCTTTTGTTCAGAACATTAATAACGGTGTTTCATTGTTATCACTGCCGCCTGTGATTTGCACCACAGAGCTCTCAACCCAGGATCGGGGGGGATACTGCCCTTGAACTCAGATGCGGATCTGCGCGAGCGGACGGCGCGCGTGATGATAGTCGACCCACCCGGCCTGCAGACCCCCGAGGCCGGCGGCCGCATGTCCGGTGGAAGTTTCGAGGACCTCCTCTACAACTACGCCAACGAGTGCTTCCTCCAACTCTATCGTGACTGCCAGTGTCAAGCGGTAAATCCCCGCAGCACCTAATAAATTGATGCTATTTGCACCATTGGATAGATTTTTAGCTCCATGTTAGGGCAAAGTAAGTAAATTTGTTTTGGACTTATAACCAAGGTATGCAAAATTTAAACCGCATAACTGGTCAACATTTAAGTTTTAAAAAAGCGTTGTATACAGAAAATTTCAGGCTTGTTTGCCATTGGACATTACCATGAAAATAAAACAAGGTTTTTTTTGGAAGGGAAAGGTCATGCTTGGATTTTAACTCGATTCTGACGTAGCTGCTCTTCTGTTTTGGACGTCATCATTCCTCATACTCGTAGTCATGTCCGTGCACTTCCCTTCAGTGTTATTTTTGACGTTATTTGATTTCCTAAAATGCCGTGATTAGACTTTCCTCCCCAGTCGTGCTTATTAGACCCCGGCATACCTCATTCTCCATGTATAGACTTGGATGTTTTTTCAGAGGTGGATTTCGGTTACCTCTAAGCCCTTTGATATATTATTTTTTTGGGTTTCGGATTGCTTATCCACAATTGCACAACGTTGATGTTTCTCCCTGTGTCAAGTAATGCGGCTTATTTGTTGTTGGAATGGCGTGGATTTAGTGTCCTAGCAAAACTTCGTATTGCCCCAATTAGGGTTTTTCCAATTTAAATCCCCATGTATCCACATTTTTCTCCCTTTGGTGTTTTGAATACATTGTAGTTTTTTTGCATTTCTATAGTTTTCATTCCACCAAGACTTCGTGACTCGACACCAAGATGCGTATTTTGGCTGACCTTTGGGCGCAATAGGTCGTCGTTGTCATATAAGCCCACACAATGTGCACAAGTTAATTCCTAGGTTAGCTCACTTCTTTTGATGTAACGAACTGTAGCGGTGCTTCAGCACCTACAATTTCGCGCCTATGAGGCACACCCATATGCTGCATTCTGTAAAGACCACTCTACAATAAGATGGCTATTCATTCCATTGTCAACCATAGAACGCTTGGTCACATTACATCCTTAACTCGTGTCGGAATAACATATTTCCAGAAATTCATGTCGGTAAATGGTGCTGCAGTTTTGAGAACGAAATCTGAGCTTGATTGGCTTATTTGAAAAGTCACCCTAAAATTTCCTTCAATGCAATTCTTTTGAGGCTAAGTTACGTCTTTTCACCAGCATGTTCGTTTAAATCCAGAAGGTCAATCTTCTGTAATGAGAAACACGATTTCAGCATGTGTGTAAGCTACAACTGAGCCATTTGATAATTGTGTGATGTCTCGGTTGCGTGAAAATGAGAGGGTTGTTTATTATAAAGTGTGATTTAACTGTCATTGGCATCACATTCAACCTCGTGAATTGACTTCAGTCGCATACAAAGGTGCCTCTGATTTACGCAACTTGTTGTGCTAATAGTTTTTCACATCCATGCAAATTTGACCCTCGACCCTTTGCTATTTTCTTTTAGGATGAGAGTGGTAATATCCGCTGCACAAATTCGGACTTTATCGAGTTTTTGGACAACCCGCCAGATAATCCTGTAGGTCATTCCAAAATACTAGTTTCCCGTTTTTTCAGCAAGTTCTCCTGCTTATAAATCAAACGATCATGTTGTTAATGTTTTTCCATTCCTAGACTCAAATATTTTGCTTGCTTCATCGTAAACTGAGTTTTCCCATTGCTGTTTTATTTAGTGCGGTTCTAGCTATCATTATAGAGTTTATGGTTTAATCAGACGCGATATGTTGGCATTGACTCTTCCCCACGTAGTATTGTATGTTTAATTACAGAGAAGGTAACTCAAAGAGTAAATTCCCATTTGCGGTAATAAACCCCTTGTGATTAAAGGGTTTATTTTTCCCCTCAATCTCCACGACAGTTGTGTTCACAGCATCGACCGTCGCTATCGAGAAGTAGCGATTCTCCCAGTCGAGCTTGCAGCGCAACACTCTCCCAGTCCGACGAGGAGGCCTCCATCACTTGGACCGTCGAGAAGTGCTGCAGCACGGACTCCGCGGTGCGCGCTGGTCTCCTCTGGCTCCTCGACTACGCCTTATGCACCGGCGACATGAAGACCTTCCTTCGCCTCATTGCTCAAAAATACGTGAAGCACAAGCTTACTCATATTTCACGAGGTGGGTAGCAACTTGTCCCCACGCTAATCGCCAAGGCAATCTCTATTTGGCGACGATAGCCAGATGTAGACGATAATCACTTTGATTCTCATTTTACTTAATGCGTCTTTGCGATTTTTAACTGTAATGCTCTAAAACACTTGTGATCTTAAAAGATAAGCTTATCGTAATGCCTTCTTCACGTGGAGCTTAGCATCCAGTGATCGGCATTTCGCTTCAGTACGGTGTGTTTTCACGAGGCATTCGGATCTGATCACTCGTTTTTCCGTATCCTTCATTTATGGTACTTGCTTTAGAATTCAGTGTGCTTGTTAGCAATATATTTTTTTAAAGCGATTTCTCGCTATACGCGTGTAACAAATTCCTACTAATTGGCAGAACAGCTGTGCTTTCCTCGCATTTACTGCAAGTGCTGTTTTTACCGCTATTTCTTCGAGGGTGTAGATTGACTGACTAGAGAGGTGGGAATAGGCACAACTTCAGCACGTGAATGAGAGACTCAAAGATTGTAAAAATCTCATTGTACGCGGAATTAAATTTTACACTAGAAATAATTATGCACGCATTAGTCAGAACATTTGCCATTTATTGCCTTCGACTGGAATCACTAATATTCTATTCAAACACTCCAGTTGCATGCATATTGCGTATTTTAACTTAAATGCGTTTAGCTGAATTTTGTAACACTTATTTTCATTCGACGTTAATAGCAGTAAAAGGTACATTCAGCTCAAGTTAACTTACTTTGCATTGCAAGCACCTTGTTGAAAATGACGAAATTCTATCTCTTTACGCTTCTCTTGTTCCACCTTTTTTCAGGTCAAAGTTTATTTTAGGAAATTTTTGCATTTGCTGCTAATACTTGCACAGATTTTCACTGCTTCATGGCATGCAAAGTTACGGAGCCAACAACTCTTTAAGGCTTTTTTGAGTTTTTGATGCATGGATGTTCATTGTTTCATATTTTAGTACCGCTCAAAGTGCACACTATATAATGCCTCTTATAAATTGTTAAAACATCTCAAAGCCACCTGGTAAAGATTCCGCTGAAGTTGTATAAGGTGGGTGCTTTCAGCTGTCTGTTTTTATAAGCCTACTGGTTAAATATAGGTCGTAGCACTGAGAATAGCAAGTCGAAACAAATGACCATATCTATGAAAATATATGCAATCTAGCACTGTACTTGTGGGATTTATTAATATCAGCTCGCATGCTTAAGGGTTTTATGCGGGGCTACTCATTGTTGAAAAAATATTAAGCTTCAAAAAGGATTGTATGTCTGATATTCCTAGAGTCGCGGCTGTTGCGGCGCTTGCATCGGTCTGGAGCATTTTCGTTGAACCACTGGAACGCGACAGCGGTGGTTCAATACCACCCTTCAACATGGCTAGCTAGCTGCCATTACTCGAGTAGTCCACGGGCAACTATAGAACTTCTTCAACGCTCCAAATTGTAAGTTTCATTGAAAAACATTTTCGCGTAATCAGTGACTTGGCATAACTGGTGTCTCCCTTCACTATCTTGGCAAATATTCATTTATTCCCCCTCTTCATTCCCGCTTGAATTTGATAAACTTCATTATTTTACCCTATCACCTCTTCGCGGTTAATTTGATTGACTGAAAACGTAGAAAGGTGCTTGGTGAGCATGCCCCTATCGACTCATGAGAATCCGTGATCCCTGATAACTTTTGAAAAGGTAAAACATAAAATTTGGACACTTGTTGGAAATCTTTGTGTGCAGAAAAATGTGATTTTCGGTATATTTGGCATATTCCAGGCAATGTTTTGGTGGGACGCGTTTGTAGTTGGGCTGTTAGGGTTTGCGCGTCGCTAGGCTACTAACCAGGCGTGCTGCACAGGCTACGAGTGGAACATGCCACACATGTACACGCACACACACAGGCTTGCCATCGAGGCGATGTGCGTGGCGATTGCACACCTGATGCAACCCCTGTCTCAAACGCACTACGCGATATTTGATGTGTGTGTGTGTGTGTGTGTGTAAGTCAGACTAGTCACAGTCATTTTTCGACTTACCTGCTCTACGAACTCCAAAAATAAGTTGTTTACCACTCATTCACACCAATTGTTTTCACAGCAAGGTGACTCCCCTTTGACACGAGTTCTGGAATTCATTTATTGCTAACTTTATTGAAACCGCACCCAGACTTTTATTTAGATATGTGTACTGTTAGTGCTTGAGTACTAAGTACTTACAATTCCCCTATAGTCATGAAATATTGCGCGACTGAGTTGCTGAACATTTATAAGCGCCATCGTGTCTCAATATATCCTAATCGCCTCTTACATGACATCAGCTATTTGAATCCCCACCATAATGAGCATGCTTTGACGGTTAGACTTTCGATGTCGCCAAGTTACCCTGCTGAAGAATCACGAATGTACTACTTGTAGACCGTTGTTAAGAAGCATTGGTGATTCCATGGACGAAGGAGCCTCTGCCTCCACCCTCAGTGTGTCTTCAACCACAGGACTTGTTGAGTCTTTCATTTTGGACACAGTAAGCATTCATTATTTGTGGTACAGTTTTCCCGTTTCGGGTACCTTGTTAACAGTAAGTTCCAATTCGTGAAGTCTTGGAGACAATTTCTAAGTCCTCACCGTGTTGAGCACAGTTGCATGCATGAATCATACAGAGATATACTTTTCAGCGTCAAAGTTCAGTGCGAGCCTAGTGTACTGCCTGAGTGCTCTGAAGCCGACTTTGCTCGCACTTTTCGATTCCATTTTATGCATATTTGCATTTAACTTTGGGTTCAAAATGGCAGTTTTTGGGCCTTTTTTTCTATGGGAGAGCTTGGGTTGGGTATTTTCATAACTTTTGACAATTGGACAGTTTAATAATGGGTCCAGTTACCTAAGTATGATCACGTGGAATCGTAACAGAAGGCATTACATGTGTCCTCTAGAAGTACGTGATGGACCTGCTGCGGACGTATTGCCTCGAAGTGGCGACAAGCGGCATTCAGTGGGTGCACTGCCTGTTGCCAGTGGCAAGTGCTGGACTCTGGCAGGTCGCCGCCGCCTCAGCCCCCACCACTACCGAGGCGGCACGAGTCTGCGTACGTAATCCACACGTGCGCTTTTGCGTGCCCCTTGTGCGCGCTCAACTGCATGCCATCTCTCTGGCCACTGATCTCATCTACCTCAAGCCTGCCTTCACTAACCGCCTACTCCAGGTCACCGCCATCAACAGCAACCACATCAAGGTACCTCTTCTCACACCAACGAGTAGTCCTCTCCCACTGTATCAATCAACTTCCCTTTTTCCAATGCACATCAACCAGTTTTCTTGATCGTGACCCACTGGGTAAGAGCAGGCAGTGTAAAATGTTTCAAGTATTTCTTATAATTTTTCTCTAGCACTTTATTGGGCGCTGGATTTTAGTGTTTACCTGGATCGTCCCCTTACACAATCCCGCTTTTCGCCTTATAGATGGTCAACTCGCCTCCACATTCAATATCAGAAGATCTGATCACAGTTACAGGGATGTCCAACCAGAATGACCGGGAGAATGGTGATAGTGTGGAGACCGAAAGAACACCTCTCAGAGTGTCCAGCTTCTCAATTGGTGGTAAACTGACCTTCCCAAATAGCGCCTCACAAGCGAGTTTTGATGCCAGTGCAAATCTGCAATCCGATGCCGTGGTTAATCATACCGTTAATGGTGCTTCTTTTCTCCTTTCGTTTAACCGTCGATGGTTTTCCACGTTTCCGTTGATTTTAAAACAATTCAATTGTCATATCTTCACTTAGGATACTCTCCCTGCATTCTCTGACACTACTGGATTTTAGATAAAGGCACTGAAGAAAAGTGTTGCAGGTGGTTTATTTCGATGGCCCTTCTGCTCATCAGAAACCTCAAATAAGACACAAATGTTACCATTTTATTCCTCGATTGGATTTTCGAAGTTTATGCTTTTTATTCGTTTTATTTATAAGGTTTACTAGAAGTCCACTTTTGATTACTGAAAACGTTGATCAAACCATTGAACTCACCCGTACACAAGCTGCAGTTATAGGTGAAGTTATCAAACTATTTTTGGGACTATTCGGTATCATAATCTTGACGCTTGAAGATATTGGTCGAGGGTGAGTTTGTGGGCTCTTGTGGAAGGGGTTCTAGCCGTCGGATAACGAAGTCTCTGTGGCACCAGACCTTTTTAATGACTTGCCTCGGTATTGTCGGTCACACTACACCTCATCATTATTACCAATCGTAGGAAATGCAATGACTTTCATGGCTATGAGATCGAAAGCAGTTTTCTTCATGAGTTTTTGGTGTCATTGACTGGTAATTTATCTGGAAGTACTGCGTATCGTGTTGACACCATTGATTGTGCCATAGCCGTAGAGCTGATACTATCTACGAGCCCGAGTCACAGAACAGTTTCAGGCGTTTTAACCTATTTTGAGCACACCACTACGAGTATTGTGGGATGGGCAATATGCTTACATACATTCATATTTAACTTTACAAAGCCTTTTTTAATTATAGAATCGGCTGATACGTACAATTTTGTGTTCAACACAACAAGTAACAACTTCCCCTGGGAGCAGTTACTTTCGCTGGCACCAACTGACCGTGGATTAATAAAGCAATTACGGTTCCAGGTGAATTTCGCCTGTCACCATTTTTTATTTATTTTTGTGTTGTGGAATGTGCCGCGTTTTATTTGCGCTCAGTCGTTAATAAAAACACGAATCGGATGTAGTCAAGTCAACTGAAAGTAGTTAGTACTGAATAGCTAATGCACATTTTTTCTCTTTAGTTGGAAGAATCGGAAGAATCCAAAGAACTTCTTCTGCGTAAGCAACGTACTCTCATGGCTGATCTGGAGGAATGTCAACAGCAGTTGAATCAGGAAAAACGTGACAAACATGCTGTATGTTTATTCGGCAGCGTTATACTTGCTGCATATTCTTCTTAAAAGTGTATGGCGACTTTTGGTATGTTCCGCTGTTTTTATGGCTATGAGGTCAAGAAGCATACAGTACCTGAGTGGCTAAATAATTTCGAGCTGACAAACTCTGGTAGTAATTAAATCATTATAGTTTCCATCATCTTTACTGTAATATGCAATCATTTTCAATAGAGAGCCAATTGCCCACGGAGGAACAGTGACAAGCAATAGTAACATTTTGAAAATTAAGTGGCGATCTCACAGTGCCTTCAATGAAAGAGGGCATTTTAAGGGTAATGCGATATTTTTTCATCCCTAGGCTGAGTTGCGCTGCCAGACAGCACACCGGCAAAACAGCGACCTGCAGTGTCGGGTGGAGGAGCTTGAGGAGGAGTTGGAGGAGGCCAACAGGAAGCAGCGTCGTTCCGCCCTCACTGGTCCCGCCACGCCTAGCTTCAACCCTTATGCCGGTGAGGTGACCCAACTCATGGAGGAGCGCAACGCTATGCGGGAGGAAATTGCTCATCTGCAAGAACGTCTTGCCACGTCTACCACCGAAAAAGCTGGAGTCAGTTTTTGTTGCTACTGCCATTGTGTTTCCTCTCTGCCTACCTATTCTGACTGCATTCGCTCTTATTCGTGCATTTTTTATCGTAGTTTATCAATTTTCTAAGCTCAATTAGTTGCAAACTTATTTGGCCTTTTTCATGAATTGGAAAGCCTTTGAGTTGGGCTAACAGTAGTTTAAATTGCACTCTAAAGGCTGCTGACATGGAGTTAGTCTACCAGAAGGCCAAAGTGCACGAGTTGGAGGGTCGGCTTGAGCTGGAGACGTCGACAAAGCAACGTCTGCAGTCGACCGTGGAGCGACTGAAAGGACAACTGGAGCAGCTGATGGGAGAACGTGAGAGGCTGCTAGCGGCAGTGCAGACAGAGCGCCAGAATGCGCGCGGTCTCTCGCGTAGTCTGCGCGAGGCCCTAGAGGACAAGGAGAGGGTGGAGCGCCGTCTCGCCGATGAGGAGCATCGGCGGCATGAGACCTCCAATGAGGTTTCTTCGTGCGTGCAGGAGCAGCTACGATTGCAGCAGGAGCTCTCCCACCTCCTCTTGCGCTGCAAGGAGGAAGAGCTGCGCTCTGTGGCGTTGCACAGTAGACGATCAGCTGAAGGGAATGAGGAGGAGACGATGGAGATGGATGCCGAGGCTTCTGATGGGGATTGCTTGAGCGATGTGACGGACGGTGATGATGTTGGTGCTGGGGATAGAAGAGTGGAGCGCCGCACTCCCTCAGTCAATTGCGACCAGGGAACTGAACAAGCAGCTAGTAGTACAACGTGAACGAGCAATCGACACCTTTTCTTATTCTTTGGACCAAACCACTGTGCTTGGAGTTTAACCTCTTTTTCTATATAATTCACCGGTCTACGTACTTCCGATTTCGTGTTTATTCACTTGTGAACAAAGTGAATCGTACTTGGCTTTTGATATGTTTGTGTAAAAACCAGATGACGGCAAATGAGTACACCTATTATCTTGTTACCGTGCAGCCGTCATATCTAAAATCTATCCCAAAGTTAAAATTCGTCAACTACTTCAAACCTTTAGATCGTTTAAGAGGGGAGGTGGATGCACTCTTGACACTACAATTATACAACTGGGCACACTTCCAGACTACTCAATGCTAATAGTAGGCCTAGGAAAAGGCTGCGAATCGGGTTTGGCGAGCGCTTTAATCTCAAAGTACGGTTGGGTCAAGGCGTAGTGCAGACTTGCCCTTGAACGGCTGGCATCTGATTTATCACTGTAACTTGTGTAAAAGAATTGAGCAGTTGGCCCAAATACACCTTGAAGCTATTCCTGCTAGAATTGGCAAGGTCTTCTCTTTGGCCTATGCGCGTTCACTGCTTACGCGAATAAGTTAGGATCATTTAACCGTCCAAAGCGTTAGGGGCTTTTGCACCAAAGGTCTTACCAGCATTTACTGCATTAAAAATGCGAGCACCTTGTTGTCACGGGGTATTAGTTATTTTATAGATTAGTCGCTTACGGAAGTTACGTAATACAGTTAGCCCCTACTTTCGCCACGGCACCGCAGCCCTTCAGTCATGACCATTTGCCACATGTCAGCAATAAGCCTGATCGCATTGGCTTAGTCAAACAGTTTTCAGACGCCCATGGAAAATTAGGGTGTGAATGCACGCCCAGGAATCGTTTCCGACTTCATAAATGTTATGAAAAAACACCACGGCAAGCTTAGTAACCACTCGAAGAAGTCCCACTCGATCCCAGGCCATTAAATGCGTTCTTCAAAAGCTACTCATTTGCCGATAAGGTACGAGTAAGCACAAAGTAAAATTGCCTAGCTGCAAGTTTACTCCCTGTGCTTCAGTTTTTAGCACTAAAGCCAAAAAACCCAAGAGTTGGCAGTGTAACAGGCTTGGTGTTTCTTTCACCGCAGGCTTTACGCTCTTGGAGCGATCACACGAGTTGGAGAAAGTATTTATTTGGATTGTGACAAGCAAAAGGCATAAATATCACAACCAGACGTGTTCATGACACGTTGCCTCCTAGGGACCTACAACGTCCCATTCGTCACGACATCCGCATTTACCGACCGTCTTGCCTAAAGGGCTCATTCAAGCATTTATGTACTACAACAGCGTGTGGACGCTTAGCAAATAATTTATCCTAACTAGTATAAAGAATTTGATTTTGGGCGCTTTTTAAAGGACCTACTTACTGATTTTCCTTGGGAAATGCGTTATTCTCTATTTAGTTAAAGAGAATGCTATAGCCATGACTTTGAAAAATTGGGTGCACAAAACTTGCTTTAAATGAGTGAATAATTTGCAAAGCCTAACAAAATGTAGGGGCAACCTTGCAAAGGGTTCGTGAATGTTCATAATATCTGCTCCCAATTTCCTTTTCTAAACAAGCTTTTGATTGGTCAGTCAGGACCAGATTCTACTCAGCTTAGTTGTCAGCCTCTACGCTAATCGGTTTGGACATGGGGGACGAGGACGGAATGAGTGGTGGCAAGAACCCAGTATTCTTTCTATCTTTTAGATTGGTCAGGTAGCTTGGTCGACGACAGTGATCATTTGGGTACTTATAGTGCGTCTGACCCATTTTTTTAAAAATAACTTGTTTAGTACTCTCAGAATCTAGACGTCCCTTGCATGCTACACAAGAAGAATGTGAGACGGTCAAGGTACTAGCGCTTGATCTTTCGTTTTTGAGTGCATCTTTTTGGCCATGACGGCGTATTGGCTTTTCGTCCAGTGTATTCTGTTGTGATTATAAGTTGATCTCTTTTTCACTTTTAATCTTTTATCAGAGTAAACTTGTTTCGGATTTGAGAATCGGAAGTGCTTTTGATGTTGGAGAAAAATTTTCACCTTTATCAACATTTGACTTTGGTCGAGAGCGCAAAGACACGTCCAGACCCACGCCACCCCTGAAATACAGACGAATGAGATACCCTACTTACTTCTCGCCTATCTCATTGCTTGTGGCTAGGGAACAGGGCGATTGTGGGCCCTCTTCTCGCTATCACCGACTTCGCGACTTCTATGCAAGCCGCGTTTCTACAATCGAGGCTTGTGATAAGCGTCCCAGGTGGCCGTTGAATCAGAGCTTCCAGAAGCACATCCAGGGAAGCCTTTGGAATGTATTATCATTTGGACTTTCAGCTGTTTACCAAGTAAGTGTCCTTCTCTTCTTCAATGCGAGTAAATGTTTCTTGTTTAAGCCGATTATGAAGACCAGCATTATGGTGCTGTGGATTAGTTGGGAGGCCTACACTCATGTTTTTTTTCACGACTGTGGAGGTGATATTTGTTTAATTATAATTAGGGTTGTTTCATAGTTCCCCTATCCATATTTTAATTGATCACATATTACAAACAATTTTCTTTTGTTTTTATGGGTTATTTTTGTGACAATACTTAGTGCCATTCAGTGACTTGGTTACCTCTAAGTCAAATTACAGTGGAACTGCGCTTTATGAGTATTTCCTCATTTTAGCACCATACAGGTTGCGTCAACGCGTTGAATTTTAATCACTCAGGCCACTTAATCGCGTCTGCTTCCGACGATACGCGTGTGGCCATAGCCGACTCCTACACCGGAGAACTTAAGACTCGTTTCCTCACAGGGCATACCCTGAACGTTTTCCAGGTCAGTTAACTTCCCTCATCTGATATGCTTTCCCATTTCAGATTTGTCCTAAAACACACTACCCCTTCTTGTTGTGACTGTTTTCTATATTCTATGCATTATTGTTAAGGCGGCGTTCTTTACACGTCACTCATTTGCCATATGAAATGGCTAGAATCTCATGATTTCATAAATTGGACCAGAATTTTGTGATCCATCATGGTTTATGGTAATTCTGCTACATTCTCGCTTTTCTGATAAAATTATCAAGCTGACCTGTCCATAATCGGCATAATAAGATCTGTAAGCTTGACGATATTGCAACCAATCCTCATTGTTCCACAATGTTAGATATTGCGTCTTCGTGTCAGGTGAAATTTGTGCCGAACTGCAACGACTTGAGGTTGGTTACCTCAGCTCGGGACGGCATGGTGCGCCTGGCTGAGCTTCACCCGGATGGCCAGGCAGTGGGGGCGACACGTACTCTTATTAATCACCAAGATGCTTGCCGCAACCTCGTTCTTGTTCCTGACGAGCCCTTCCTTCTCCTCACCGCTGGAGAAGACGGCTCCGTCTTCTCTATCGATCTCCGTACCAATCAACCCAACCAGTAGGTTCCCTGTCCCACATCTGAGCTTCTTCGGTTTCGTCGAGATATCCCACTTGGTGCAGACTAGCTTATCCTTTTTTTGAGACTTTAACATCAAAATTTTCCACTTATTTTCCCAATCTTCCGATATTTTCGATACCAATCTCTGCACATGAACCTGGAAAATTTTTTGAATTTTTAGGTTACTTCATTTGCCTTTGTCACCCTTCTACTCCATATCAGCTAATCCTGCCAGAGCGGTGGAGTTTTGTGTTTCTGGAAAGTATGAGTCATTCGTCAGGTCAGTTTGCTAATGTGACAATGGGACAAACTTTTATGTTAATCATGTGGATCAGTTCGACAAATTACAAAACCACTTCGTTGAACTGTCGGTTGCACGGCGTTTTCGACTGATTTACAGGGTGTTTGATCGACGAAAGGTATCAGTAGCATCGCCCAAAGATGGATATCTTCATTCATTTGCTCCACGTCACCTTCTCTCGAAACCGCAGTGCAGCCGTTTCGATGCCCCAGATGCAGACAGTGAGATGGGTCATGGGGCTGACGAGGCTCGTGACGATGACGCATCCGATGACAGTGAGGCCAGTGATTATGATGACAGGGTCGATAGTGGTGAAAGTGATTTGGCCGAGGAGGGCTTCTTCTCCTCGCAACTGGGACGCCAGCTGCTCGGCCTCTTGCGTGAGGACTTGCGAAGTCGCAACCGGGCCCCCTCTCCCCCAGAGCTCGGTGGTGACACAACGGAGAGGCGTGTTGGTCGAAGGCGTTGGTCTCGAAACCGGCCAGTCCGTCTTAATGATCGTGTTGATCCGCTCGGGGACCACTCGCAGACCAAATACAGCATCACTTCCGCCGTGTACAGTTCCAATGGCGATGGTCAGCTTTGTGGATGTGCACTTATTCCTTCGTTTTATTTATTTTTCTCCACATGCATAATCTCATGCTTTAATTTTGTTTCCTTTTTAGCCATCCTCGCATCCTTTAATGATGAGGACATTTATCTTTTCCATTCGCAAGATGACAAGCTTCCACCTCTCCACGTCTATCGGGGACATCGAAATAACGACTCTGGTTCGCCCTCATACATTTATTGCTATTAAATGGTACACCTATTAATGAGAAAAGGTAGGGACCCTAGGTGCTACTGACCCTTTTTTTCGGGAATCGTGTAGCCTTCGATATTTGTTAGTTCTCTAGTCCTGTGTGGTTGAACGTTTTACGTTTGTGCTTTGCAAAACAGTGAAGGGTGTTAACTTCTACGGTCCTAACTCGGAGTTTGTCGTGAGTGGCAGTGACGACGGCTTCATATACATTTGGGACCGTCATTCAGAGGGCATTGTTCAATGGCTCTGTGGAGACATCGCTGGCTCCGTTAACGTTCTCGAGCCACATCCCTTCTGTCCGATGCTCGCTACCTCCGGCTGCGATCACAGCGTCAAGGTGGGCATCATCACTCTGCCCTGCATTGCGGCTACTTATCAAACAGCTCTGAAAGTTTACCATTAATAAGTAATTTTTCCATCAAGCTAAGCCAGAAGCATTAATTTTCCTAGGAATTGTTCATATTCATTTTCTTATCATTGGTGCTGTTGTATAACAACTCGATTCTCTTTCAATTTTGTAAAACTCATCGCTAACATTTTGAATTACGTACACCTTGTGAGGGTTGTTTCTGTATCAGATTAAAGCGTCTTACTAAGTAGATTTTTCATTATTTACGGCGCTCAGTGATATTCCAGCAAATTCTTGTTCTCCGGGTGGACAATTTTGATACTTTCCATTTTTGCTTTCGTTAAGATCTGGACTCCTATGGGTCAGAGAGGCAGCATCGGCAGTCCGGAAACCTGGCTAAAAGTCATAAAGGATGAGGAGCCTAGTCAGCGTATTCTTTTCGACCCCGAGCAGATAATTGACTCTATGCGATCACTTCGACACTCCAACCTTGCGAAATGTCTTTTCGGTGAAAACGAGGACTTTCAGCCCTCAGATGAGGACTATTCTGTTGCTGTTGATGATGGTAATGATTCTTATGACGATGGTGATATGAGGACTGGAATTCATCGTAAAAGGAAATCTTCAGAAGTTGATAAAGTAAATGGATCTGTGTCAGTCAAGTCTTCCAAACGGTATAAGAAAAGTAAGAATTCGCCCAATCAGGGTGGTAAGCGTGACAAGCTGCCAATCACGGCGGCCCCTCAGAAAAACTTGCCTTTTAATTCAAAGGATTTGCAACTGGTAAGGGGATGGTGAATTTCACCAATTTACAGCATTCTTCGTTCTCAATGACTTTTACGTTTCAGAGAGTTGCGGCCAACTGGGCGAGAAGAAATCGCGATTCATTAACAGTTACCTTCGCATTTGGCCTTCCTGAATTTTTGGTGCGTTTTTCTCAGTCTTTACTCCCAAATAAATCACTAAACTGCGATTGGTAGTAGAGCGTTTGGTTTTATCCTTTGCGAAATTTAGTTCACCTTACTGCGACACTTTGCTGCCGACCTAATGGACTAGATTTTCCATTGGTATGATGTAATAGAAGCATTTAGTTAATTATTTTTTCACAAAAATACACATTTAGTCCATTCGTTCGTACCAGCTAATAGCAAGGTGTTGAAGGCAACTGCTTAATAGGGTTTTAATAAAAGCCCGTCTTACACCCGGTAAAGTCCGTGCGGGTATTTTTATTTGGCCTTCGTCATCGCTTACACTATACGTCTTGTGGTGAACGAAGCGGGTGATCTCTAGGTGCAACAAAGCTGATTATCCAAGCCGCGAGGACCGCTTTGATGTGGTTCTGCCAAAATACTGGAAAGTATTCACAGGGCTGAAACCCTAAGTGATTGCCTCCCGCCCTACTGACTCCTCTTTTACTGTGTCAATAAAGACTGGTTTTTGAGTGATTCCATCGAACATATTTTTTGTGCCCCAATGCAACACAGCAATTTGATAGATAGACTTTGTTCTACGTTTGTGAATGCGTGCGGCATCCAATTTTCTAGACCTATTTTTGGGCATCTGTGTTGACAGCCGTTACTTTCACGTCGCACGCTTGCTTTAAACCGTGCTGGTAAACACATCTGAACAACCAATCTCCGACTTTCGAATCTGCAATGTTTCGCAAGTTCAAACTGTGAACAGTTCCGAATCGATTCAAGAATGATTCACATAAAATTAATTGTAAATATTGTGGCTAAACGCAGGGCCAAACTTTTCCTCAAATGCAAAATGTCCAGTTTTATTTCCACTGTGCACATGCGATCACCCCATTCCAAAGTGAAGTATTTAGTTAATCATGCGTATTTTTGCACTGTTTTACTATTTTTTTTTCTTGAATGACAGCGTCCAGCGCTGCAAGTAACTTACGATGTCGCTAGCCACCGGATGACAGATTTCCTCCGCCGCGGGCACTCTAGTAGTATGAGTGATGATAGCAGTGACGACGAAGAGGCCAACAGTCGCGGTCATCTCGGAGAAGTGGTAGAGCCTGCTGCAGATCGCATCTGCGAAGACGACGGGGAAGAGAATACCAGCTTGTCAACCTTTTCCTCTTCCTCGGGGTCTACTAGCCCTTCTTCTGTAGCTACTGGTATGGATCCAGCGTCTGGAGCTTAGAGCGAGGTTGATTGGTGTGACAAATTATGTGTGCATACAGATTTGTTCCAAATGTTTGCTTGTTCTCATTAGTCTGGTGGGGCATCGAAGTGTCTTTATTTGGAGAAAACTGAGACGGTGATCCATTTGAGAGCTATGTAATAGACCATGACCCGAGTGGATTCCCTGATCCTGTTTAGAGGCTTGCAAATGAACCATATCGTCTCAGGTGCCTTATGCCTCGAGGTGTAAGTGGTGCCGATGCATCGTTTCAGCCGAACATTAGTATGGGGGAAGTGGTGCTCCAGGTCTTCTCTAGGGTCAGAAAGTAACAGTGATCTGAGGGATTTGGTGTTAAAGTATTGGAAAGTAGGGTGACTACAGATGCCAAGGGGAATCATGTAAGCGGGATCGAAGTACTGCAGGGCTGCCACTGATACTTCCATTGACACCCAGGTTTAGAATTCTCTGACCGACGAGTCTGGTTTGTAAGATGGGTGGTGCTAAAACAAGAAGGTATACTTTGGGGCGCAGAGACACTTTGAGGAGATGTCAACTTGCAACTTCTTCCAGGAAGAGGAGACAATTTGGACTAATTCACTCGGCTAGTTTGCACGAGCAGCCAGTGAGCTAATTGTCTGCTTGAGCAAGCATTATTGCTCAAGCTGAGGGGATTAAAGAGATTGTGTAGTTAAATATCCAGTCAAACAAGTATCAGATCATTAAAATGTGCATCTTCGCAGGCCATAGAAGAATTTTGTTTTGTACCTTATCTCATACTCACGATTTAGCTTTGGTGTTATAAAGTCAAAAGTGAAGCTAGTAGCGGAGAGTGTATAAAGAGATCATTGTAATACGATAGTGGTTTATCCCTCGGTTCTGGTGAGGCGCCACTTTTGTACTCCTAATTAGCCCCCTTGTACCTCGATGGGCGGGCTGGCCTTTTGGGCCATGCCAATAGCCCAGACACATTCTTTGTGCTAAATATACATATTCTGCACGAGTATTGTGTCTTCTTTCGTCTTCATGGAGTCTCTGGACGCTACATTGGTGGCAGTGGGAAGCAAACCCTATCTTAAAAGACATGTATCCTGATTTTCCACTTCTGCGTGATAAGCCTTAGTGGGACGGAAGAAGTACATATGCTACGGATGGGAGAATGGTGATGACTCCTAACAGAAGGGTTGACGTTGACGTCTACCTTCGGCATCTCTCCCAGTCCCGTGTTCTGCAGAGAAGCTATTAACAACTGAAGCGACACTAGCCGTGAACCATCTGGGAGTTTCGTTACGGATTTTCCATATCGTCCCCTATGGACCTGTTTTAAATCTTATACTTCCTTACTCGGATCTGCTTTTAGGCCAGTGTTCCTCCATCTATCTATGGACACGCATGATGGCCAATGCAGTTCCCCGTCCTGAATGAAATCCCTAAACCGGACGAAACCCCAGATCCAGTCAAGCCGCCAAGAGGGATCAGTGACGTTGAGGTCAAGTAGCCCCTCAATTGCGCATTAACTTGGTGACTGGCACGGTCGGCTAGTGGGTGTTTCTTTACTGCACTGGCTACGTAACGGCTGATGCGAGAGGTTGACCTGCGGGAGCGCCGGGG